ATTTTCTTTATTTCAAACTCCAACTTTTTTGGATTTTAACTTTTTTTAAATAAATTAACAAATAGATAAACAATTACAAAAGCAAATAAATAAAAAATTAAATAAATAAATAAACTAATTAATTAATTAATTATTTAGTTAAAATAAAAAATTGAGTTACTAGACAAAACCACAAAACCACTAACAAACATCTTGTAAAACATTCACAATGACACAGTACGCTCAAATGTTAGACCAACATATGCAACCGAACGGATGTACTCAAAAATCTTTTGTATGTTATCATTAATTTTTTTCATTTTTAATTAGGTTTTCCACAATTTACAATCTATAAAGTAATCAAATTGTTTTTTATTCTTTTATTTTCTAAGTCTATCTATTCGTTCAATCTATCGATTACTCATTTATTTATAAATCCAATTATCAACTTCAATGTCATGCCAGATTATAATCAACCACTCGACTGTCTAGAAATCATTCATCCATTCATCCACTTTTCACTCCATTCATCCCTGTATTCATCTATCTTTTCAATCTATCCATCTGTTTATTCATTTTTCATTCATTCACCATTTCAATCCGTCCATCAATCCATCTTGCGTGTTTCATACAACAGTAGATGGACTGTTACATGTTGACTCAGCAACTTGTCGCGAACACTTATCAACGACAGCAGCAGCAGCACCACCACTACCACCGAGAACCACAAGGTTATTTACACCATCGTCATCGTCGACATCAGCTACATCATCGCCATCCATATTTACATTCGTTAGACTCAAGGCGTCTAGACATGTCTCGCGTAACTCACGCTGCTGCGAAGCTTGATAGCTCCCGCCGCGACTACTGTTGCTACTGCTGCTGTTGTTTGTTGCCGTCAACGATAATGACGTCAGCGTGACGTATTTGCTGGCTCGTGTTTGGCCATCGTGTGGGCAATTTTTCAACAATGACGTGACGCTGTTGTTGTTGCTACTGTTCACGTTGTTGCAGTTTATAAACGAACTGAAATTAGCGTTTTGCGGTACGTGAATGTGATTGGATGAAGATTGTGACGTAGATGAAAATGGCGGTGGAGGAGGGGGAACCACTTTTTTTGGCATCGTTTGGTTCAGGTAGAAGTTGCTGAGGTTTGATGAGAGAGCGGGTGAGGGCGTTGGAAATGGTTTGGATTTCTGAGGGTTCGAAATGCTTTGCCTGTAAGCAGAAAGTGTCGAGTTTGTGGGACCTGTTGTGGCGTACGTGAAGCTGACTGATTTATAGCTGGTGTTGATGTTGTTG